TCTCTCTCCCCCATCACTTCTCCTTCCCCAACCCTTCCTTCCCCTCTCCTTTCTCCTCGAATCCACCAGCGGCCGACAACGAGAGTGACCATCGCGTGCCTTGGCTCCTCCTCCTCCATCGTCGGTAGCCTTGTGACAACCAGATTCAGCAGAGGCAGTGATGAGAGCATCCACTGCTCGCCTCGGCTCCTCTACCTTTGGTGGCCTCACAACGGTAGAGGCGGAGATGGAAGCGGACACCATGCGCCTCAGCTCCTCCATCGCTAGCAGCCTTGTGTAGGCCAGCTCTAGTGGCGCATCTAGCGTAGGGGAGGTAGGGGATCAAGGCTAGGGTTTCTAGGTTTCCTTTTTTTTTTTGCCAAATATCTTTTGTAGGCCAGCCTACGAAAAAACGATTTTGCACGCGGTTGAGGTGCCGACTTGTGATAATCAACATTTTTATGTGGCACCAGGTAGGCACTCCATCTACAAGCAAATACCGAATTTGATAGTTTGGGGGAAAGCCTTTATGCAATTGATCGTAAAAACATTATATATATATATATATATATATATATATATATATATATATATATATATATATATATTTGAGCGAAAATTTTTAACTAAAGTTGATCAACGGCTATCTACATAACGGTTAGTTTGTACAAGTGTACGTGATACAAGTATACCAGATCGAGTTAATTATCTTTATGCTTCAAAAAAAATGTCTTTTTTAAATGAAGCGCCTGTGTTAATTATCACAAGGCTTTTTTTCTAGACTTGATATTTATGTCCATTAATTTTAGAGATACACGAACATACGCTTATACACATTCAGTGGATCTCCGGCAAAGTGCCAATGCTGCAGGGTTCGGTGGATCTCCTCTACTCTACTTGTAGTACTTGCCTAGGTCAATGCAACTGATCGAAGTGCCACATTAAAGCATAGTACTACTATATAAAAAAGAGATTGAACATATGAAAACACACACAAAAGTTTGAGAAAAAGACCCTTGATTTTGATTCCGGTCAGGCCATCGTCCAACAACTATAACAAAACAAAACGCGTTTGTAATTCGTTCCTTCGTTGAATTCCCGCGATGCAACGCAAGCTGGCGGCATGTCTCGCGGCGGGCCGACAGCACGCGCGCCACCACCCACTTGCGCTCCCGTGGGCCTACTCTTGGCCCATCTATCCAACAACGGCGACGCTCCCGCCCAACTGGGCCGAATCCCTGGGGCCCACACCGCCACCCCGCCCGCGTGCGCCGCCCCTGGGCCCACTCCTCGGTGACCGGGGCCCACCGATCACACGGACCACGGCAACGACGCGCCAAGTTGCCGTCGCACGCGCGCGCGGTGGCGGCGGCGGTGTAGCTCAACGACGGCGGCGGCGACGGCGACGGCGAGCACGGAGTAGTTAAAGCATTTAAACATTGCTTACACAGAATCGATGGATGTATCATGTATTATTATCATTCGGATTATAATTTAATCATACGGTTATGTACAAGCTCGATCGATTGATGATGATCGCGCGAACGCTAGCTAGCTAGCTAAGCTAGCTGTGGCCGCCGTCGCTGGGGCCGGACGGCGGCAGCGGCGGCCTTCCCGTCTTGGCAACGGCGACAAACTGGCCACCCGTCGACGACACCGGCACCGCCGCCGCCGCCGCCGATGGGGACGACGACGACGACGCAGCTGCCACCGCCGCGGCCGCCGCCGCCGTCCTAGAAGCAGAGTAATGCTGCTCGCTCCGCCTCACGCCCGCCGTCGCCGCCGTGGAGGCGACGGTGAGCGCCATGAAGACGAGCACTAGCACCGATGCTGCCGCAATCGCCAGCGTCGCAAGAACACGCGCCGTCGTCGTCATGGTTGAGACGCCGAGAAGAAGATCGACTCGATCGGCGGCTTAATTTCTCTCGATCCAGGCAAGTATTAATATATATTGTTCATATGTGTTCATGCACGGATCGATTTGATTTGATTACGAAAAGGGGCGACGCGTGATTGCATGCCCCGGTGTACGTATGTAACACATGCATGATGGGATTCAGGATTAGGTTTTCAAATCGCAGAGGCGAAGTCCCGGATAATCTTGAGAATTGCAAATTGCTTGCGTTGGCGTCAAGTTACAACTTTGCCTTTATTGGATCGAAGCCCATGTTTGTGTTGGAAAATCATTCCACAATGAGACAGACTGGATAGATAGGGAATCGAATTCAAGGTATCTTTTTGAATATAGGAGTTTTATGGCATTTATGTTGCGTTTGTTTCTCACTTTTCCCATCATTTATTTTCTCGGTTTAAATGCACACGCTCCTCAAACTATAAAACAATGTGTTTTTAAAAATAATTCTATAAAAAAGTTGTTTAAAAAAGAGTAAATTTCATAAAACTATATATACTTTGCACAATCTTTCACAAAACTACAGATTTAAGAATTTATTTCACAAATTATAAATTCACTGGCTTCATTTATCACAAATTAAACTACAGGTACTTTGCATAATATATCACAAAACTACAGATTTAAGAACTTGTTTTCAAAACTACATATTTAATATCTCCATTTATCCTAGAACTATAAGACACTAAATCTGTAGTTTTGTGATAAATAAAGACACTAAACAAGTTCTAATTAGTGTTTTAACATCCGATGTATTTTAGTCCCTAGATCCAAACAGGCCTTAGGCTGTGTTCGCTCCTCCTGGATGGGAACACTCCCCCTCCATCACGGAAAACGGAGCAGTCCATTAGCGCGTGATTAATTAAGTATTAGCTATTTGTTTTTTCAAAAGTGGATCAATATGATTTTTTTAAACAACTTTCGTATAGAAATTTTTTACAAAAAAACACACTGTTTAGTAGTTTGAAAAGCATGCGCGCGAAAAACGAGATAGAGGGGTTGGGAACATGGGATGCAAACACAGCCTTAGTTTAGTTGCTGCATGTGGCGAAAGAAACAGGAGTAGGGCAGAAAAGCCATACTCCTGATCTGAAATATTTCCTAAAATTGCACTTTAAAACTTTAAAAATAGAAGATAAAGATAAAACCATGTAAATTACTAACTTCGACCTAAAATAAACCAAAAATTGCAGAGAGTAATTAAACCTAAAATAAATTTATTTTAAGATGAATGTGGTACTATATTTGGGAAGCCAGAGAGTATACGTGACATTTCAGTATACAATGTACATAATAATATACACTGTACATAAGTATTATAGATCCAGACAGTGAAAGAAAAGATTGTACTGGTACTCCACAGCATATTTGTCTGCGTTAGTAGCCCACTTGACAGTGTCATCTGTTATCAAATGTCATTCTTGGAAGGGGCCCATGGACCATGGCCGAAAGACGACATGTACGGCACTGGAATATTTGACCTTTAGCTCCGGTTTGCCACGTGACATGTTTGACATTTCCTGTCTCGTGGCATGACACTGGAATTAATATGCACGCACGAACCTGTGATTATTTGTGATTTGCCTGCCTCCTTGTGTGCTCCTCCTGCCTGCAACCAACATGTGCTCGAAATAATGGAATTGGATGATTTGGTTGGATGGCAGGGGCTTAAGGGAAATTATCTTAGGACAGTCAAACATTTTTGGGACGTACTGAATTTTGATTTTTCGTTCCAAGAACTGTCGATGAACTACCTGAAGTAACCTAACAAAAGTACGATTTTGGTTGCAAATTATTTGAGAAAACGCACAGTTTACAAATGTATTTCCTATAGTACAAAAGATGGAATGTTGGAGGAAAAACATACTTCAACCGTCCTAAAATGTAGCTACCTAGTACAGGATGGAACATTATCTAGTACTACGAATCTGGACAGGTCCTGTACTATGTAGCTACATTTTGGGACGGAGGAAGTAGTAATTTTAGAGAATTTCAATCCTATAGGAAAATTTTCTATGAAGCCATTTGAAACAAAGGATTAAATCATATCCAATCCTTTGAAATTTCTATGGAATGGACGATCCTATAGAGATTTTAGAGAAAATTTAGCGAGAACTTCAACCTCTTGGTAACTTTTCTCTGAGTCACTCTCTCATCCAAATTCTGCGTTTTTCCTACGGTTCAATCTAACGGTCATTCCTATGTTTTTTCTGCGTTTTGCAATCCTCTATTTTACACTTATATTCCTATCAAAATTCTACGTTTTTCCTATTTTTATGTTTTCTCAATCTTACGATTCAAAGGGACCCTTAATGTGTGATTCTTCATAGTTTTACCAGCAAAAAAAAAAGGGTAGTTTCACAAATTTACCTAGCGATGATTTGTTTTTTTCTACCAATAGACAATGTAAATTTTAGCTGAATTTGCAGGGATAATTCTCAACCAAGTTAGTACTACTTGCTGTACTAAAGCCTACAGCCTATTGCATGCCGCCCAAAGTTGTGAAACAAGACTCCAAAGAATGACACAGTTCAGGCCCCTTTCATTCGCAGGATTGAGAAAACGTAGGAATAGAAAAAATGTAGGATTTTAATAGAAATATAAGTGTAAAACAGAGGATTGCAAAACGCAGGAAAAATACAGGAATGGCCGTTTGATTGAACCGCAGGAAAAACGTAGGAATTGAATGAGAGAGATAGACTCAAGGGAAATTTATCAAGAGGTTGAAGCTCTTGCTAAATTTCCTCCAAAATCTCTATAGGATTGTCCATTCCATAGGAATTTTAAAGGATTAGATAGGATCCAATCTTTTGTTTTAAAGGGCTTCATAGGAAATTTTCCTATAAGATTAAAATCCTCTAAAATTCATATGTTTTTCCTCCAATTCAAACGGGCCCTCAAGAATGTACGATGACCCCATTGGCTAGCCCCTATATATTCAGGCGATAGCCCATGGGCCAAAATGCAGAGATGCGACCCGTTTGATTAAGGCCTAAAGATGACGGTCAAAACAACAGTTGGGACATTCTCATAAAGGAGTAAAGTTCAGCTAAAAAATTAGGGAATAAAGTCCCCCACTCCACTTGGATTATAAGGCCTAAGTGTGTGATTATTTTCACGTTCAACATCTCGATCCTTTTTCTGTTGCTGCTTAGTGCAAATTAGCTGTGTATCATGCTCCCAAACCAAAGCTAGCACCAGTTATCATTGTCTTAACAAATAAGAAAGAAAAGCAAAAGGAGAAAAAAAATTAGTTGAAAATACGACCTCACTTTCTTACACACAAAAAAGGAAAAGAGGTTGTACTTGTACACGAGGTGCTATAATGATGCAACAGAAAAAAAAAGTAATGGATCAACACGAACAGCTCAGCTATGCTGATGATCCTCATTTATATTTGACACTGTCAGCAAAACTGAGCTAATCCAGTAGACAGCAACACTGAAAGAGTGGAGAACCGTTTTGTGCGTGAGTATTTGACATTAGCCAAAGAAAGAAAAGCTTTTGATCCTCACCTTGTCTTGTTCTCATAACAAACCAAACCAGGCGGCTTGGCTTAAAGATTAAAGAAGCCAGCAAGATTAACTAGTCCATGCTGATGCCGTCGCCCATAAGCACTGCGCATAACTTTAGCTCTTGATCACAAACCACCAAAAGGAGGCAACCAACTGCAAAACAGCAAATCACAAGTTCCAACATGCCAAAGCCATCGCAACAAACATCCAAAAAGTATTTATTATTATTGTTTTGTTCCTCCCCAGAAACAAGAACACCATTCCAGAACTAAGACCACATTGATCAGATCAACCCCCATGATTTAATATACAAGTTAAATAAGCGCATAATTGGAGCAAGAATATGCTAACCAGTTAGTAGTAGCAGTAGTTACCACCCAACATACATGGATGCTCATGAACTGGATCTTTGGTTCCATCTTGTGTAGAGTACAACCCCTGCAAAACAAGCAAGTGACAGGAGACAATCTGATCCGAGACAAGAACACTGCAAGAACATTTCTGATTGCTCCAATGGATCCAAACTTAAAATGCCATTTATATTATGATCACCACCACTACATCCCTTAATAGATACATAACCACCCACTGATCATCATCACCAACACCGCCGCCGCCGCCGCAGCCGGCTGCCGGCGGGAGACCTCGACGGCCGCCCCAAAATGGACATTCCTCCCCCTTTATCATCCGCCGGACACCTGAAACAAGACGGCTTTGTCACAACCCATCATGGCCGCCGTCCCGGCCGCGACAGGTAGACCCGGCATTGGATCATTGTCCGGCCAACTCTAAACCCCGGCACCACGGTGAACCCGACGACGCGTTCCTCGGCGGCGGCGGCGGCGGCCTCGTCGGAGCGCCCGTCGCTGACACTCTCCATGTACACTTCGGAGAAGCGCGCACCGGTGCGGACTTGGAAGATGGAGGCGCCGTCCTCCTCGGCGCCGCCGTCGAACGCGTAGAAGAGGCAATGCAGCAGCCAGACGCGGCGCGCCATCTCGGCGAAGTCGGCGAACCACGAGCTCTCCGGGAAGCCCGGCCCGGCGCTCACGATGCCGCGCTGCTCCAGCCTCCCGAAGAAGGCCGTCTCCATCCTCGCGTGCACCAGTGACAGGTACTTGGCGCGCAGGAACTTGCCGAACCCGCCCCACCGCGCGTTCCTCGCGTCGAGGAAGGCGCTCGCCGGCGCCGCCTTGAGCTCCGTGAACTCCTCGAAGAAGCGGCGGCGGTCGTAGAACTCCCGCTCGTCCAAGAAGCTGAGGTTGAAGTCCCTCCGGTGGAAATTGGCGAACATCTTCATGGCGACGTAGGACTCGAAGACGAACTTGGTGTCCCCGGCGCGGCGCAGCTGGACGCCCGGGTGCACGGCGGCCGCCGCGGCGGCGAGATCCCAACCGGCGGACTGCATCGAGTTGAGCATTGACTTGGAGAAGGAGCGGATCGACTTAACGGTGTGGCGGAGGGCGGTGAGGAAGTGGGTGGGGTTGAGGCCGGAGAGGTGGAGCTCGTCGAGCGACGCGAGGGTGCGCCCGGGGTGGAGGCGCGCCTCCATGGCGCGCTCGGCGCGGAGCTCGGCGGTGAGGGAGCTCCTGGCGCGGTCGGCCTCCGCCTCCTTGGCGCGGAGCTCGCCCTCCAGCTTCCTCGCCGTGATCTGGTACGTCTTGAGGAGATGCCGCTGCTCCTCGGCGTGCGCGTACAGCGCGGTGTGCCCCGCCGCCGCCGCGTTCTTGGCCGCCGCGGCGGGGTCCCGGAGATACCGCCGCTTGGTGTCGGACAGCCTGGTGAGCTCCGCCACCAGCGCGGCGTCCGCGGCCTGAATCGCCTCCGCGTCGTAGGGGAACTGCGCGAGCTGCAGCTGCGCGTACGCCGCCTTCACCGCCGAGACGCCAGCGAACAGGTTAGCCAGCAACGAATCCTTCGCCACATCCGGCGCCACCTGCGGCGACGTCTGCGCCACCGCCACCCCGGCCACCCCCGCCGCCTTCTTCTCGGCCGCATTGCGGAAGAACGCGTCGAGCGAATACGCCGCGCCAAGGTTACCGGACAGCTTCAGCTTGCTCAACGACGGCACACCCGCCGCCGCCGCCTCGACGGAGCACTCGTACTCATCTCCAACCACAGACGCCGCGGCCGCATCGGGCACACCGGGCTCTCCCACCGCGGTGGCGGCGGCGACAGCGTCAGCGCGCTTGCGGCGGAGCAGCTTGGTGAAGGTGCGGGCCAGGTTGGCCGCCTTCTGCTGATGCGGCAGCGGGTGGTGCGCCGCCGCGGCCGCCATTTGCGCGTCCATGTCGATCTAGAGCGGCCTCTCGTCGCCGGCGGGAGGATTCCACCTCCAGCTTCGTCTTGCTCTTCCTCTTCTTGGGCTAGTACTACTACTACCTCTGCCTGCGGGGGAATGGGGAGGAGTGGGTTTAATTTTTGCGGGAATATTTGGGGGATACTGTAAAGTAAAAAAGATGGGGGGCGTGCAGGGGGGTATAGGGGTGGGTGATGTGACCACTGTGACACTGTGCATGTGTGGTTGTGCTATCGATGAGGTGGTGACTGCTGAGGGGTGGGTTCTATAATTTGGGAGAATTTAGAGGGGCACTATGCTAATTCATTAATTTTTACAGCTAACTATATTTTGCACTCTATTTTCTTTTTGGGTGCTCTTTTTTAACACGTGCTTGATGCATATAGAAATGGGCATTTTTGGAGAAGATTCAGGTCTGAATTAATTAAGAGTATAATGCAATTACTATGATGTGATACGGTGCCCTGATGAGTAGTACTACAAACATACTGCAAATAATTAATGCTTTAATGCTTTAATAGCAATTTTCTAAATTCAAATATAAATAGTAAGTATTCAAAGCCAATGGGACCTCACTTCAGCTCTCTATTTGAAATTTGACCGAATGCACGCTGTATCTAGAGCTGCAATTTTGAGCAATTTCCAATTCTAGTAAGCATTGCAAAGAATTCGAGCTGTGTCTAAACAAGCATTTATTTGTGCCAACTGAGGCTTTGTTTGAGGATTGGGAAATAATATCCTACCCTCCAAAGAGTAATATTGCATCTAACCATCCATTCTTCCCACCTCATTTAATCCTAGCCATTTATTCATTTCCCTTTTCCAATCCCAGCTCCCATATCCCATTTGCTAGGTTGGGTGGATGAGCCTGATGGAAGATGGCCGCCCGATTTTTTTTTGTGTTTGGTTGAAGGGCAGGGTAGATGAGGCGGTCCGGAATAAGGAATATTCTCTCAATATGCTGGATAAGTGCATCTGGTCGATTTGGCTGGATGAAGTCATTAGTTTTGGTCTGGGTGATGTGTCCTATTTTAATTGGCTGTGGTTGTTTGATTTTCTGTTAAGCAAGCTCCAACCGATTTTTTTCTCCTAAACCTTTTATCTAATTTATGATTTTATTACACATTATATTTGTTACAATTAAATCTTTAAAACAAGATCTCAGATGATTAAATTTTGATATATATATATATATGGGTCCCACTAACTTTTGGTTTTTTCCCATACATGCTATATCCCTCTAACAAAACAAAAAATTGGATCGCCATATCTATATAAACCAAACAAAAAAAATTAGATCACCCTATCCAACGAAATATAGATCGTCATATCCTATAACACACGCTAAACCTAACCATAAAAAGCATAGGAAAAGCTGCCATCTCCTTAAAATTTCTTTAATTAAAAAAAAGAACAGAGGAAAAATGAAAAAGGAAGAGTATAAAAGAATAGATAAATGATTGTGCCATACTCCTATGTCCAAAAATAGGCAAAACACGGTAAGCTCTAACTTCGACATCCTGGGAAGTTTCACACAAACCAGCACAGAGCCACACGTGCCAAAACAAAGGCAAGCATTTGAAGCTTGTGAGCAACGCAACAAATCCTTCACTACCACCCAAACAGCAAGTACTCCAGCACACTACAAGAAACCTTGATGATGAAAAATTCCATCCAAATGATTCAAAACCTTCTGTATTTTCCGGCGTTTGGAGGGTCGCCGTTTTCACCCAACATGTGGCAACACTTGCAACACAAACATCTCTCTCCCCTCCTCCCCCAAATGATCGCTGTCATTGCACGTAGGCCACAAACCGAATCGATTACTAAGCAGAAAATTACAGGGATTAATTGCACCTTATCACATGCTGATCAAAATCGCTTTCACCGAGGATTCCAGGCTCCATGGGAAGTAATTACGTGACGTGTGTGTTCCAACAGTGGTGGAGCTGTGCTATGAACATGATGCAGTCAACAACTCAGCAGCAGCAGCAGCAGCAGCAGGCCGGCAATCTGATCTGAATCTAATTTTATTAAATCTAAGTAATGCTGGTGATATGCGAAACAAGGGTAAGGACAGATGACTAGCCGCTGCTGGCTTCCGGGGTTCACACATGGCAGGAACCTAATAAAGGCAATGGCTTTTTGTTGATAGCAATAGCAATGTTTGGAACTTCTCCGGTTATGCTAGATTCAATTGGAGATTGGTTAGGTCAGTCATAATCAGGGGGGTATATAAAATAAAATAACAAAACTACTAGTATATGGTGCTAAAATATGTGTGTTTTGTGTACACCTGATCCCCATTTTAAAACCAAATAGGATCCAAAATCGTTTTTGCATTTGAACTTCCAACCAAAGACAGACCTGAGTGGATGAGGTCATGCAAAATCTTTTTTAGGTCGTGTTTAGTTGCAAATTTTTTCTTTAAACTTCTAACTTTTCCACCATATCAAAACTTTTCTACACACATAAACTTCCAACTTTTCCGTCACATCGTTCCAATTTTAACCAAACTTTCAATTTTGGTGTAGACTAAACACAGCCTTAATGAAATTCAAGCAACTCAGCCAATTCATAGGTTGGGTTAGTTTATTTGCTCCGATGTTCCGATGCTCATAAACTAATCAAACCCGACATGTCCTATATGCTAGCATCATCTTAACCTAGATTAAGCCCGGACACCAAGGATAACTCAAATGTCCTCGTGCAGCTGAACAAATCTGTTGCTACAGTTTTCCACGGCTCAATTATCACGAGATGAGAGTATAGTGGAAGCAAAGAAAGGTGCAATGCGCATGTCGAGCGACACATTCCTGATGGCTACTTGCAACTCATCTCCTACTAAAAACGAAAAGGAATGGACGGCGATTAACAGCACATTGCTTGCTACTATTGTGCTGTAGCACTAAAACATCCTACCCCTCTCAGCTTTATTTGCAATGATTCATGCCACTTAAGTTGAACTCAAAAACATCTTTTTCTGTCGACAAGGTGCTGCATCCTACCGGTGGTATTAGGTGACATCACGTGCTTCTTTACCGGAAAATTTTTGTCTTTTGGAAAAAATCATGGTGCTGCCACTTGTTTGGTGAAACGCACCAAAAGTGAAGAACAGTAACTAACCCTCCCAGAGATGATTTATCTTTTCAAATTCAAGAGACAAACAGGGAGTTCGGTGAAACTCCCATGTAAAAAAATATTCACAAACAGGTAGTATAGTACAAAAAGATGCGCTAGACTATGACTAATTGCAACTGTTATTCCCCAGAAGACTATCAGAGCTCACGTGCAACTGCAGAACCACTGCAGGCCATGCTGTTTCTTTTCCCCTCAAATGAAATGAAACCAAACAAAAGAACCAGAAAAAAACGGAACAAGAAAGAAACGGATTAGTCCATACAGAAATTTGATTACTAGTACTATCAATTGGTGGACTGCCAGGATTGGCAGCAGTGCAGCCTTCCATTAAGCTAGCACACCACTTTACGCATCACAACGTTGCACGAACAGTACTAATTACTGGCACTAAACGTTGGTTGGTTGCAGCGATTAGTATACCGCCACTTACCCCTAATGTTCCTGTCACTTCCCCTGATTGTACTACGGTACTATGAATACATTGATACTGCTGCACATGCAGCAATGCTACCAACTTATTAAACCGCATCCGGTTAGTGATTTAGTTAACTGCAATTGGCAGGCAGAGGAATAGATTCGACGAACCAATAGTAGCCACCGCTGCTAATACTGAATACTAATACAGTGTATTAGTCATACAGGGACGTTTCTGAACCTGGAAAAACAGCACTATTTCTTTTCATCACTGTGATTGTCAGTTACTCCTTACATTTTATATTATAAGTCATTTTGACTTTCTCACATGTCAATCTTATTCAAGTTTAACTATTAGTTTCACAACATCTAACATTAAATATATTTTTATGATATGTTTGTTTTGTGTTGAAAAATATGTTTTGTTTTCTATAAACTTAGTCAAATTTTAAAAAAAACATAAAAGAATCAAAATGACATATAATATAAAATAGTAAGAGGAGTACAACGTATTGGCCACTCTCGAGTCTCGACACGGCTGATAGAATCCAATAACATGTGTATAAAATACCCATGATCATAGCACTACTTCATCTGTTATCAAAATCTGACACCAATTGCTAAAACTTAGTAGTAGAATTTTTCCTGACCGAATAGTTTATGAAATTTTATTGTTTGGTCAAAGTTTTGATAGTAAATCCATTGACATCACTTGTTTGGAAACAGAAAACAGACAGAACAATTAACAACATTCACCAGCATAGCAGTACCCAGGCACCCCGTACCCAGGACTGTAATAACAATACGCAGATACTAATGCCCCCATCACTAATATGAGCGAATGGCATGTTCATCTAGTAATCCTACCACACAGTAATTACTACTGGTAGTACAATTCAATACTACTAGATCAGTTGCTGAGATCAAAAGTTAAGTGGGACGCCCAGGTTTATCCTCTGATGGTAACCTAACCGTAACCGGTGAACCACGACTGGCAGGTGGGCCCCCGTCCATTCTTTTCGTGTCTGCTGAAGTCAACTAAGTACGATGTACGGTAAGACCCTACGCCAGGAGATAAATGCAGAGATCAATCGTGCACCTAAAAACCCATGGCGTCTTTTACGCCCTACTGATTTATGAAGGTGCAGACGTTTTAGTTACACATGGTTGAATGCTGTGTACTAATACTGTATATACCAATACTGTATAGCCAGTTCATACCGTGAAAAAAAAACAGTGTAATATAGTGTATTATACCATACTTCCTCCTTCCCAAATGTTATAACCTACGATCTTACTCATCCTAAACATCGAATCTCGACATAATACTATCCTGTTGCCCAAAATGTTATAACCTAGAATGAGTAATCCCATCTCATTCTAAGACAGTGAATCTAGACGTCCACCCAAAATCCTTATATCTTGGGATGGATTGAGGGGTTACTAGGACGCAGGTAGTAGAATGCCGTCTTGAGAAACACAAACAATTAGCGCTCAACAGGTTTACCAAACCGTTTAGAAACACAAACAATTAGCGTTCAACAGGTTTACCAAACCGTTTAGTCACTCCCGGTTTAAAGATTATCGTATGGTATACCGTGATTTCAAAAAGTTACCACAAGTTATAACCCACGATAGCCGTTCGGTAATTGCACGGTTTTGCAAACCTGAAGCTCACCCTTATCAAGGCACAAGGGCTCACTACTCTTACAAGTACTTTCTTGACAGGTTTAACATTAGTATACACTTGTAGAATAGTAGGTTCAATTCACTATCAGAGATTATGCAATGGTGTTATCCACAGATTCAGGATGGTTTAAAAAATTCAGGGGGCGTTGTCAAAGCCTACTACGCCGACCTCATCGTCAGCAACCGATTTTTTTTATTTTGCAGAAAAATAATTAACAAGTGGCAGATGATCACCAGCAGAGAGACGCATCTAAGTTTTGTTTCTCCACCACTTATTTTCAAGGGTAATCGTCCTCGCGTGTTCAAAGTTCAAACCAAACAAGGACACGAGGTCACCTCATGCACACACAAAAAAAACAGAGAAAACACATGAAGAAGGAACTGAATAATTATTGGGGCACAGCGACTAATTACTCCATTGCATCCAGGACGATCATAAATCGGCACAAACTAAGAGCCATGAAGCAGTTTGATAGTATCCACGCAACCAAATCCATCGGTTTCAAATTGGGTAAACCTTATGATCAAAGTCAAAAAACGCGAGATCGAAGCAGCCTCTCTCTACCAAACCCGACGAAAAACTAAGCATCCGCAGATCAGCTACGGTCCAATCAAATCATCAACCGCGCCTTGGATTCCAACTAACACGAGCGAGAGAGAGAAGCGAGCCAACCACGGGGAAGGAATCGAAAAACAACAAGAGAAACAGAAAAAAAAAAGCGAGAGAAGAGGAGGACTCACCGTAGAGGCCGGGAGAAGAAGCGTACACTCCTCTAGGGAGGAAGACGCCCCTCGAGTACGAACTCCGAAGGAAGACGCGGCGCCGGCAACCTTGCAAGTCACTTCCTCCACACCTGACGTCGTCGTCGTCCCCTTTCCTTCACCTTCAACTTCAGTCGGTCACCCAGGTCGGCGCAGTCTGGCGCCGGACGCTACCCCGTCTCCACCGGCGCCGGCTTGCCGCCGTATTCGCCGGACCAGCGGGGGAAGAAGAGGAGGAGGAGGCGGCGCCGCGGCGGCAATGGCGAGAGAGCAGAGAAGACACAACACAAAAAAAAATATTTCTGTAATTTTCCACGCCTTCCTCAAAATCTCCGGCTCAATTTATTTCGGGGGGGAATTCAATTCAATGCACCCAGGGTGGTGTACCGAAATTGCCCTCCCCGCCCGTTCCGGGTTTCCGGCCTTCCACGCCACGTGGCACGCGATGGACGAGGGTGGAGCACACGGCAGGAAGCGATTTCCTCGTTCTTTCTCTCTCTCTCTCTCTTTTTCCTATATATGTTTTTAAGCTGGTAGGAGTACATTTTTTTATTCAGAAAATCTATTAGACGGCGTTTCTGAATCTTTAGAAATAAATTTTAAAACTGAACCGTCTATTCCCACATCTTCCAAACACGTTTCTCAAATTTCTATTGAAAATTAGGGCCTTATCTTTTTATTTTTTGACTTATGTTTATGCTTATCATCCAAAATTTAAATTTTCAATATTAAATTTAGAGCTAATTTTGAGGTTTTTTTCATCAATGTTTATTTTTAGTATTACTTTTAGAATACTAAAAACACGTATATAAAAGTTTTATTTATAAATTATTTTTTATTTATAAATATGCTATAAACAATGGCTCCTTTAATCTACTTTTTATTTTTTTTAAGTATACTTAATTAATTAGATGTTAATTTGTTGCTCCTTTTTAGAGCGAAGGGTTCTTAACCCCAAATGAACACAAGCTAAAACGTCACTGTTTTTGTTTCGGCCGTGCCATCCTTCTTGTGGTGCCAGAGAAATGTTACTGTACGTTATTTGTGTTGTTCCACTGTGTCATATTGAAGATCTGATCTTACATCACTCAAATCATTGTATCATGGACAGTTGTTCTAAGGCACTGTTTATAGCATGACACCATGCTAATGGCTGAAACATCTATTTCTCTGTAAGAAAAAGAACAATCAAAGTTGTTTGAAGGTTTAGTTTGATTTTTTTTACTGGAAAAATATTCAAGAAATAATCACGTTTGGCCTCAATTGTTCCAAGCAAATTTATCATTTATGCCATGTGGTGATCGCTGCAGAGAAGAGGATGACGAGTACTTGTCATTGCTGTGATGTTGTGTTGCCTGGTTTACACACACATTTGCTTCTGATACAAGTATCACCGAGGAAAAAGAAAATCAAACCTCCATACTCATCAATTTGACCAGATCAGTTGTTGAGTACTCCAACTCCTTTTCTTTTTCTAGACCAGTGCTTCTTAAGCATGTGCTTTCTCGTTTCTCCTTTCTACCTGCTTGCTGCTGCTGCATGAGAGTTGAGATAGTAATAATTATGGAGTCCTAGCAGTAATTAACTTAACCAATGGGTCTTTTTTTAAAAAAAACAACTGGGCTGTTTTGGTCATTCCATTTTACGTTACGGCCTGACCGCAATGTGGTCCATCAGTGGACGAAAGCTGGTGGTAAACCACCAGCCACTTTTATATTGCACTCCTACCTCACTTTTGACGGTGATAGTACGTACTACTCCTATATCAATACATATTACTGACATGTGGGACCGGATAGGTTGTGTCCACCTTCAAGTAACAGTACTATCGACTGTTACTTGTTGAAAGTCATGTAACACTGGTCTCACATCATCACATTGTCTGGAGTACGACCGTGGAGAAAAATGTGGGTTCGTTCCCAACATGCACGATTATTTTCCGGTCCCTGTTTTAATAGTACTCTTTTTTGTCGTATTAAAATACATGAATCTCAAGCCAGCATTAATCTACTCGATATTACGATCTATTTAGAGTATATTTTAAGAATCAGCTGATGAGTTCGGAGAAGATAGGGAAATCAGATTCTGACTTCTAATTTATTTTCTAAATGTTATAACTATATTTTTTTAAAATCTAAATGCAAAGCAAAAATGTTTGTGAAAAGATCTGATTATAAAAGAAGATGCAACCGCTAGAAGCTTCCTTTAACCTACTTCCAAGACATTTTCCATAATCATACTCCAAACCAAAGAGATGTGACTAATACAAAGAAAATAACTTTAAGATAATACCTGTATGGTTGTATCAAGTTTGCGTTTAGAGTTCAAAACAACCATCCATATGAGAAACAACTCAATACTACTCTGTCAAAAAAAAAAATAAATCCTAGCTACAAATCTAAACATAAATCAAAATATGTATATGTTAAGATTCATAATTAGTATTGAATTGCGAAAAGACCTGTAGCCTACTGGTTACAACAGCCTCAGTAGCACCTGAGATCCTGGGTTCGACTCCCTATGGGAGCAAATTTTTCAGGATTTAACGGCGTTGTGCTTTCAGTGATAGACGACGTACCCGTCGACAACGAGACGTCTGTGGTTATTTCGTCAATCTCTCCAGAATTTACCGGCCCTGTCTTCGAAGATGTTCATAGGGATAGGGTTTGCGTGCGTGTGTTCATAGGCCCAGTCTTCGAAGATGCTCATAGGGATAGGGTTTGCGTGCGTATGTTTATAGGGGTGAGTGCGTGTGCGTTGTGAGTATCTGCGTTGTACTGTGTAATTCTAAAAAAAATAATTAGTATTGAATTATTTATGGGTAGTACTGTGTAATTCTAAAAAAAATAATTAGTATTGAATTATTTATGGGTAGGGTTTACGTACGTGTGTTCATAGGCCCAGTCTTCGAAGATGCTCATAGAGATAGGGTTTGCGTGCGTGTGTTTATAGGGGTGAGTGCGCGTGTGTTGTGAGTGTCTGCGTTGTACTGTGTAATTCTTAAAAAAATAATTAGTATTGAATTATTTATGGGACGAAGGAGGTAAGTGTAAAAGAAAATGAGAGGGAGAAACACGAGACATTGTGTCACAGTCCTCGAATCAGAGTTCGTACTGCCAAACTGGACTGTTGAACCTATGACCTCCCAAAACGGGAACGACGGGGTCACTTTGCTGGAAGTACGGGGTCCCAAGATTTAAGATTCTTGGCTTAATCTTCCCCTGTTTAGCTGCTTCTCACCTAACTAATTTTGTTTGGCACTTGTAGAAGAAAGACAAGACCCAAAAAAAAAAAAAAGGAAAGCAGAACGGCGATACGCATGCAGGAGTTGGAAACATGATGCGGTGTGTAAGACTGACAGTGTGGCACCGTCGTCTCTTCTCTTGTGGTGGTCGCTTTCGTGCTTTGACATGCACGCGTCCGCCATTGAAGGGATCCAACCGGGAAGAATACTTCCTGTCTGTTGCTGGCTGATATATAGCCTGATACTGATGCTGATATGATACACCCAGCTTCCTCGACATATTTTCTTTTCAAATACAACACGGGGATTTTCTGAGGTTCGATTTCAGTCGTTGTGTTACATTTTGTTAACTTTAAAGAAGTACTACAGTATTTTCACACAGGGACGGATCTAGAATAGGATAGAGGAGGACTATCTTCTTCTTCCTCCTTTTCCCTCCCTCCTTCAATACCCACGCTATATCCGTCCCTGATTTCACGTGAAGAATTAAGCCATTGCCTTGTCCGGCATCAAACCAAATTAACATGGACGCTTGTATTTGTAATGTGTTTTTTAGAAAATAATTTTGATAGCATGTTTGATTTACAACACGGAAATGGATTTTGTGGTGCAGCTTCACTTTGCTTGTTATCTTATTCACTGTAACCAGATTTTAAATTTTAATTTTAGGTTTGATTTTAAGGTACTTTTTATCGTATTTATAAATATTAAAATTGTGTCGGTTGTTTTGTTTTTTAATAATAGAAATAACCTACATCTTCGGTCTAAGTCAACAAAGACCAATAAACCAAGAAAAGTTATGAAAGAATGCAAACCAGTGGCGCACTGTCGCTCATATCAGTGATGGGGACCTAAACGTGCGAGCTTGTCTTGTGCGATTTTGGCAGCCTTTCGTCGAGTTCCTCCCCGTGCGTGCAACTGCAACTGCAAGGAGCTTGCCAGGTGAAGCGCCATTGATGGATCATGGATGCATGCCATTGGTCGTTGGTCACCTTTTGATGAGCTATCTCGGCACCTTCATGCATCTTGCAATGCAATGCTCCTTCAAAAGAATCAAAAAGGGGCAAACCCCTCAGCATGCATGCCAGCATGCCATCGATTCATTCACCAAACTGTTCATCAGCCAGGTGTGCTCATGATCATACCCAAGATGGCAAAAGACTGACGGCTGAGTTTGATTCAGATACTTGGTTGAGCGACTCCATATCGGCGGAACATATCCTATGCATATAAGTTTCTAGTACAAACTCTGTACACACCAACTACCAAATGTTATAGAAAATTCCAGAAAAAGGATACATATTTTTAATAGTACTGCACCTACGTATGAAATCTTATCTTCAATTCATTATATTTTAGCCGTAACAATAAAACAAAATACCAGCAGATTATTACTCTTAAAATTGTCAGATTTTTCACTTTTTTGTTACGTCTAGAATATAATGAATTGAAGATAAGATTTCATACTAGGTGTAGTACTATTGAAAATATGTGTCTATTTTTTCTAGAATTTTCTGTAACATTTGATAGTTGGTGTGCACTAGAAACTTGTGTGCATAGGATATCTTCCTCTTCATGGGGTCAAGAAAGTATGCCTCTCAAACTAATAAATGATATATTTTACATTTAAAGTTTTTAAAACAAAATTATATAAATTTATTTTTCATGTTTAAAATAGTTACTAGTAATACTTAATGAATAATTCATGATCTGTCTCTTTTTGCGTGAAGCAAATTAGCCAAGCCAAACGGACAGTTCAAACGCACCGACTCATCATTCACACTCACACTGACCAACAAACTCCCTGAATATCCTAGGCTCCTAGCGTGAATCTTGTGAATTGTGAGGTTACATTAGTGGAGTATCCAACATTATCTAAACTCTAAACCAATGCAAAGCCCCCCTTTTTTTTTCTTTTCATTCGTGTTTCTTTAGAGAGGGCATGCATGTTCATCTTCACCTACCTCTACCCCTACCTTTCTTTGTCTTTGTAGCCAATCAAGCTTAAAAGCCATGGATAAATGGAGAAAAATAAAAAAGATAAACCCAGCATGATGGCCTACGAGATGACCTGCAAGGTGGGTCCTCCCAAG